CCAGATTCAATATATTTTCTATTCACACTCGTTTTTAAGAATTATTTGTAATTGAGTCTTTGATACCACATGTTTACTAGACAATGACTTCTTTGTCATGGTGACTTCTATGGTGGCTGGTTGGCCCCTTTAGCTTCAACATTACTCACCATGTCCTGGTTAGAGATAGGGGTGTAATGGAGTCAAGCTGACTCTTGGGCTGATTTTGGCTTGGATCAATAATTGGATCACTCATGAGTTCAACTCTAAAAGTTAACAAGCCAAACTCCCTGACTTGACTTGTCAATTTATGATCCGGCTTTGTTAAACAAAATGTTAATATACAATAAACTTAAAAAAAATACGAAAATATTAAAAATTCTCTCCCTTCTTTGTTTGAACTGTTTCTCTAAATTTCACTTTTAACTTCTTAATTTTTCTATCACTTTACTACAACAACTAAAAGTGTAATTATGTTCTCTATTTAATAATAAATTAGTTGGCTTTGGCTTGAACTTGTAGACATAATCTTTAGGTTTAAGGTTACGGTTGGGGCGGCTTTCTTACTACTTCTTAAAGCAATTTTTTAGTTCAAAATTTTAAAATTTTAAACTAGAAAGCTGCTTTAAGAAACAGTAAGAATTGTAAGACAATAGCCGAGATATTGTCACAGTGAATGGTCGTAGGAGAGCTTTGCTCAAGTTGTAATTCGAGGGCTAGGCGATGGAGCCAGATGACTTCGGATGTAGCCGCAGATAAAGCTATATACTCGGCCTCGGTGGAAGATTTGGCGACGGTGATTTGTTTCTTGACTGACCATGATATGAGATTAGGTCCCAAGAAGGTATAAAATCCGGAGACAGACTTGCGATTTGGAGTATCTGAAGCCTAGTCGGCATTTGTATATGTATAAAGGGTTGTGTCGCCGGGTGTGATGGGCAGTTCGAAGGAGAAACTGGAGAATGTTCCTTTGATGTAGCGTAGAATTCTTTTGAGTTGTTGGAAGTCATGGACAGTCGGATTCTTCATGTGTTGGCAGGCCTGATTTGTGGCGAAGGCAATATCAGGTCGCGTAATGGAGAGGTATTGAAGTGAACCAGCAAGACGGCGATACATGGACGGATCATGAAAAGGCTCGTTGTTCTGCGTGTGATGTTTGGAGCTCGGAGTAATGGGTGTCGGAGAGGCTTTGCTGTCGGAAAAGCTAGTTTCTTGTAGGAGCTTGGATGCGTAGTGTCCTTGGTTGAGGAAGAAGCCTGTTGCTGTTTGCCTTACCTATATACCGAGGAACAAGGATATCTGGCCGAGTTGTTTGAGTGCAAATTGAGATTGTAGATCTTTCATCTTTGAGAAGGTTTTGAATGTATGTTGAATCATTGCCTGTAATAAGAATGTCATCTACGTAAATTAATAGATAGATGTGAAATTGTTGTTTGTTATAAATGAGAAGAGAAGGGTCGGAGCGGCTAAACCCTAAACCACGAGACTGTAGGAATGTGGTAAATTTCTGAAACCTTTGTAGCGGTGCTTGTTTAAGCCCGTAGAGAGATTTATGAAGTTTGTAGACGGCATGCAGTTGGTGAGGATCCTCAAAGCCATGCGGTTGACGCATGTAGATGTCGTCCGGGAGCTCGCCGTGTCGAGCTGAAGCATTGGCCAATTTCGGTTGATGGCTAAGGTGAGAAGCATGCGGATAGTGGGCATCTTTGCGACTGGACTGAAGGTTTCGTTGTAATTTTTGCCAAATATTTGTTCGTAGCCGAGAGCGATGAGACGAGCCTTGTAGCGGTCGACTTGGCCGGAGTGTAGCAGTTTTGTTTTGTATGTCCACTTGCATCCAAGGACATGTTTGTTTGGCGGCTGAGGGATGAGCGACCACGTCCCTTGCTGCTTCAGAGCTTGGAATTTAGCAGCCATTGCTTCTTGCCAGTGTGCTAGTTTGGATGCTTGCTTGTAGGTAGTGGGTGTGTGAGAAGGAACGGCATTGCTGAGGAGAGAAAGGATGTGTCGAGGTTTGGAGATGCCATATTTTGAACGAGTTTGAATTGGATGATTTGGTGGTGCAGGGGCCGTGAGAGATTCCGAGGTTGAGTTGGACGCTGTAGTCTGGATGTGATGAGTTTCGGTTTGAGCTTGGTGCAGAGAGGAATGGGATCAGTTGGATCAGGTGTGGCCGGTGTGGTTGAGGGAGGGATGGCTGAGGTTGGTACTAATAGGAGAGGAGGATAAGGGATGTCAGAAGGTTGGGAGTTCGACGTGTTGGGGGGGTAGGATTGTGTAACGGGAATGTTTGTTCGTGAAACACAACATGTCGTGATATATGAACTTTATGAGTTGTGAGATTGTAGCATTTGTTTCCCTTGTGATTAGGGGAGTAGCCTAAGAAGATGCAAGGGTGTGATCGAGGGGAGAGCTTGTTGGTGGTATACGGTTGAAGCCACGAGAAATAGAGACAGCCGAAGGTCCGTAGGTGAGAGTATTCCGGTATAGCGTTGTTTAGCATTTGGTAGGGAGACTTAAGTGCTAGAGATTTGGATGGAAGACAGTTTATTAGGTGATTTGCCGTTGAGACAGCGTCAGCCCAAAATACGTTGGGAAGGTTGGAGACGTGCAGGAGCGTTCGACTAAGCTCAAGAAGATGCCTGTGCTTTCGCTCAGACAGCCCGTTTTGTTCTGGTGTGTGAGGACAACTCAGTTGATGCAGGAAGCCGTGACTGTTGAGGTAGGATGTGAAATCGGTGCTAGTGAACTCTCCACCTCCGTCGGATCGGAAGTGTTTGGGAGTGGCCTAGAACTGATTTTGAATAAAGCTGCAGAACAATTTAAATTTTGCAAATGTTTCGTGCTTGTAGTTCATAAAATATATCTAGGAAAAACACACAAAATCATCGATGAAAACAACGTAATAGCGAAAACCATTTAAAGAGGAATGTTGTGCAGGCCCCCAGACATCCGAGTGGATGAGCTCGAACGGATGGGAGGTAGTTGTAATTCTTTAATTAAAAGAATGTTTATGGCTTTTAGCCATGTTACAAAAATTGCACTGAAAGTCAGAAGAAATGTTTTTAAAACTTGAAATACAGCGAGCTAAACTATTGAAAATTTTGTTGTTTGTGTGTCCGAGAAGGGCATGCTAGGTACAAGTGGACGTGGTGGTGGCATGAAGGGCATTGGGTGACACGTCCGGAGCAATGTTGAGTTGATAGATGCCGTTAATTAGGCATCCACGAAGAAGAAGTTGCTGGTCTGTAGATCCTTAATTTTGAAGCCATTAGAGTCAAAGGTAATAGAGACAGAATTATTCGTAGTTAACTTCGAAACAGATAGGAGATTATGAGTAAGAGATGGAACATGTAGAAGATGACAGATATGAAGCTTACGCGACGTATCTGGTGGAGGAAGCAGACCTTGGCCGTAATTTTGTATGGGAATGGTTGAGCCATTTGGGACCGAGACAGAGTCGTGTCCGTGATAGGCGGAAGGGTATTGGATGTTCGAGCAGTCCGACGTCATGTGGGTGGAGGCGCCAGAATCTAGAACCCAGGTTTGGGAGGCGGTTGGATTTGGTTGAGCAAGAAGAGCTCGGGGAGCAGTGGAGGTAGTAGGGGCATAGTTGAGGTTACATCGATGCCAACATTTTATTGCAATATGAACAATCTTGTCGCAAATTTGGCAGATCGGACAATTGCTGGAAGCAGACGGAAGAGGTTGGGATTGTTCAACCGGTGCAGATGTCCTTGTACTGTTGTTCTGGTATTTGGAAGAACGTTTTTTATTCTTGTTCCGTGTCTGATTGTAAGATGTGGCGTAGTAGGCAGTCGTGGCCGTGGATTGATCGTTCTTTCCTCGCTGCAGAGGAGTGAGTAGAGGGAATTGAGATCAGCGGGCAGGGAGGAAGAGCGTATGTAAGTTTTGTAGGAGTTGTAGCTTGCCGGGAGTCCATTTAGAATGTAAAGAACGATATCTTTTGGATCAATCTTGGTGCCAGACGTCACAATGTTGTCCACGATGTTCTTGAATTGAGCCAAATATTGTTGCATCGTGAGGTTATTCATTTGAATGTGATGTAGCTCGTTCTTGAGTTGGATGACTCGAGAACGGCTAGACGATTGTCGTCGTCGTTCAAGAACAGCCCATACCTCTTGAACGGTAGAAGAAGTGATGACATAGGGTAAGATTGAGGGAGAGATCGTAGAGAAGAGAGCCGAGATTAGATTATTGTCAATTAGACGCCACCGAGCATGATCGGAGGAAGTAGTGTCGGGCGGCGGTGTGGTTTTGCCGGTGAGATGATCGGCGTAGCCATTAGCGGAGAGATGCTGAAAAATTTGAGTTCTCCAAATGGCATAGTTGTCGGTGGTGAGGGAGTTCGGAATCAGATTCTTGATGTTTGAGATGATGAATTTGAGTGACGCCGGAATGACTAGCTCTGTAGGCGATCCGGCGAGCGTGGAGGATGCGGGAGGGAGGGAGGGAGGAAGTAGATTTTTTATCCCCCATGACTAGCTCTTGATACCATGTAAGACAACCCGAGAGAAATGGCAAGCAGAGGAGACAGGGAGAGAGGTATCGTGAAAGAAACAGAAAAGGGAAAATCTTATTATATCTGTTAACTTGAATACAATGTGTTTATATAGAAGAAAAGTAAAGTTGTAAATACAATTGGGTACATGATAGGCTTAAGCTAAACCGTGTGCTTACAAGAATGTCGTCCCAAATGAAGCCTAAATTTGATTTAATTTGTCAAATTGAAGCTTAAATTGGGGTGGCTCTAGCTTGGCTTGACTTTTCTGCACCGCGAGTTGCAGTAGAGCTAATTTTTGTGTGGAAGTTGAGCTAGCTGGGACTTCGGGAGAGGTATTGGGTGGATCGCCGCCTCTGATTCTCGATGGGATTGTGTGGATCAGATAAAGGCTTCAACTATCGGAGAATGCATCATACAATCGATATACCCTTATCAAGAAGTATATGACTTAACATGCTTCAGAATTTTAATCACTTTGTAATGTGTTTCCATACAGGGTTTTCCAATTGCACAATCATCAAAGAATTGTACCTTGCTGGTAATAAGATAAGTGAAGTTGAAGGTCTCCATCGTCTCCTAAAGCTTACAGTGTTAGACCTCAGCTTCAATAAGATAACCACAGCCAAAGCTTTTGGCCAGCTTGTTGCCAATTACAATTCTCTTTTGGCTCTCAATCTTCTTGGCAATCCAATACAGAGTTGTGTAGGAGATGAGCAGGTCCGGAAGACAGTTTTGAGTCTTCTTCCCCATATCACTTATCTGAACAAACAGCAAATAAAGCAGCATAGGGTAAGAGAGGTTCCAACCAATAGCAGTGTGGCCAAGGCAGCCATTGGAGATGCAGGATGGAGTTTCCAGAGGAGGCAGGTGAGGCGGTTGGGTCAGGTCTCGGGCTCGAGCTCTTCAACCAAGAAGAAGATTCGATCGAAAAGGAAGCAACAACAGTCATCCTCTTCAAGAAGGTAAACCTGGTATTTATGTCTTTAGATTTGCAATACCTTGCATGTTTGTTGTTTGATGGTTGCTAATACTTAATATTGTAGTCACTTGGAGTTTATATTGGTTGATGTAGACAAATAAGAGAATAATGCTTTGAATAACTCATAGATATGAATACTTTCATTTGGGATTGTCAGAATCTTGTTTTTGCCTTTTTTATTAAATCTTTTTTTTTTTATAGTGTTATTGATTTTTGACGGAGGCTTCTTTTGGGACTGCTTAATTACTGTTTCATAAAGCAATTTTTTAGTACATATTTTTTACTAAAAATATATTCTAAGAAGCAATAAGAAAGTCTTCCCAAAAGTAGCCATATTCTGTACAAATCCATATTGTTTGTAAGGGTAAATCATTTTTATTCTCTATTTTTGGTTTGAAGAATATGTTCATTATATTTGAGAGGATTTTAAAGATATTTTTATAATTTTAAAATCAGTACTAATTTGTTAATTACATAGAATTAAATAATAAAATGTGATAGATTTTATCATTTTTTAAAATTATTTTTTAGCTTCAAGAAAACTGCCTAACTTCTCGCTGAGCGGCTTGAAATTAAGTTCATTTGAGGAGAGTTTGTTTATTTATTTTGCTGCTAAGATTTTGTTTGTAATAATTTTTTATTGTTTTTTAAAATATATTTTAATATAAAATTAAAAAAAATGATCAAAAGTAATTTTATGATAGCTTTTGGGCATTTTTTTCAAAGTTTTTGTTAATTGTCTCTTTAGCTTCAAATTATATTCAATTCAAAGTTAATATTAGTATGGTTGCGTCATGGATTTTTCATGGTAGTAGAGAAATATAAAAATTAACGTCTTAATTTGGTACAAAAATTCAGCATACAATCAGATAAAAGAGAGATTGTAGTGTTCATAAGAGGTGAGAGTTTTTATGCGGAAACTCTTAAAAAGGTAGAAAAATCAAAATTTGAATGAATTAGTTTGCAGTTGACTATAAATAAGGCTCTTCCTTGGAAGGAAGGCTTCGGTTTGATGTAGCAAATATACATCATATAGAGTGGATTACATTGTGGGAATTGAAAGAATCAATATTAACATGTTTGTTTAGTCGGCAAGACCATAGTCGTCGGACAACGGAGGTAAAAAATATAGTATTCGGATTACTGTGGTTTAAATGAGAGTAGTCGATGGGTGTCAGAGGTTGAAAAGATCATTATCTGGTGACGATTGTCAGAAGAATTATAATCTGGTGACGGAGGTCAGAAGATTCGTAGTCGGTGGGTGATAATGGTAAAAAAGATCTAGTTTGAGGATGGAAGTCTGAAGGACCGTAGTCGGTGGGCGACAGTGGCCAGAAAGATCAATATTTGGCAATAGGAGGATCGTAGTCTGGCTACGAAGGTTGGATGGACCGTAGTCGGTGGGCGATAGTGGTCAGAAAGATCGTTGTCTAACGATAGAGGTAAAAAAGATTGTAATATGATGACAAAGGTCATAAAAGATTGAAGTCGGCGGGCGATAGTTGTTAGAAACACTATTTTCTAGCAATAGAGGTTGGAAGGATCGTAATCTGACGACAGAGATCGAAAAGACTATAATATGAGCGTGATAGTGGTCGAAAAGGCCGTTTTCTGGCAACATAGATCAGAAGGACCATAGTCTGTAACTAGGTGTAAGTTCGGTGTTAGTTAGTGAACGGGCAGAACTATGACATATTTGTAAGTTCAGCAATAATTAGAAGCTGGGTGGAAGTTCGACATCAATTGGTGGCCGAACAGAAGTCTAGTATTTGTTGGTGGCTGGGCAGAAGTTCGGCAACAGTCAATGGTCTGACTATGGTTGAGGATAATTCTAGTGGCAAGAGAGACATGGTTCTCTTTCTTCCCTTCCTTGCTTCTCCTCATGATACTCCCCTTTTAATGAAGAATGAAGTGCCTAGTTTTAATTTTTTGAGAGTGGCATGGCCAGTTGATAGGAGGTAGAGTAAGGGTAAGTTGGGAGCAGTTTGAATGGACGGACGATATTAATTCTCTTGCTTATGAATCGTTTACTGGGCATTTGAATGTCTTAATGATATCATAATCTTATGATCTTAGGTTGATTGGATTTGTCTTTTCGAGAGATTCTATTCGATTATGATTTTGTTGAAATCGATATTCGGATGGTCCCAAATTTAATTTTGAAAGTTTTCAACTTGATTTTGCTTTGAGATTCGTGCCTGATCAAGATAATTTTTTTGATGATATATCAGTTGCCCTCCTATTTTCGAACGTCAAAGCTCTAAAAGTCTGAAAATGTGTCATAGTTTTACAAATTTTTTCAATGCAAATATGCAATTTTTAAATAATTACGAGTCATGATTACTCCTTAGATGTCAATATAAACATCCTTTCGGAGTCGTAAACCAAGTAAAATTTTCTTAATTATAAATTGAAAATGTTATGAAGTTGGCGCGTTGATTAGAGCAAAAATATTAATAAATTACACTCCAAAATATTTGAAATTGATCGAAATTGATTATAGAGGTTATGTTAAACTTCAAAAATGTCAAAATTGGATCATAAACGTCAAAAAATGGTTCTAGGGACCCAAAAAATTTCAAATTTGGACTTTCCAAAATTAAAATCGAGCCGAGACACGTATTGGTGGCCGAATCGGCCTGCTGGCTGGTGCCAGCGCCTGTGCCACACGTTAGAAAGATGCGCACATATGGGGCACACGGCTCTATGCAGCTGGTTATAACCAGTTGTTTATATATATATGATACGACATCACAAAATCATCTTGATCGGGCACGAATCTCGAGGCAAAAACTAGTTGGAAACTTTAAAAATTATTTTCAGGAGCATATGAACTCCGATTTCAGCGATCTTATAGTCAAACTAAGCGTCTCAGAAATACGAACCCAACGACACCAAGATCAGCCCAATCTGAGCCCAAACGAGTCTGAATCAAAGGTTCAAAGCGCTGTTGGAAAGTTCAAAACGCAATTTGAGTTACCAAACGGTCTCCGATTTTAACGAGCTTATACTCAAATCGAGCGGATCGACGAGACGAATCCAACGAGCCCAAGATCAATGAATTCCGACATCATTAAGGCCTTAAAATTCCCAACGAACGGGGCATGATCAAAGGATTCGATATCGGCCGTCCATTCAAACCACTCCCTGTTCGCCCTTGATCTCACGCCTATTTAAAGGGCTATGCCACTCCAGAAAAAATATAAATAGAGCCCTCATTCTACACCAAAGGGCCCAAGGTTAGCCATGAATCTAATTCAAAAAGTTTTCAAACTTTAAATTTTTGGTAATCCCGCTCTGAACCACTTGAATAGTTCGTAAGAGGAGTTAAGCCTCATTGAAACTTAGTTCCCAAGCGTAACTTTAAAGCAGGGTAATTTGTATTATTAAAAAATCTATTTTTCACAAAAAGAACAAAAGATCACATTTAAACCAAATCACACCACGAGAAAATATAATACAACGAAATAAGGTGCCTGGAGTTCAAGAAACATAGATAACACAGATATCTATAGTGTTCGGCAGACTTAGAACCTACGTTCCACTCACTTGAGGCATCCCTCCAAATGCACTACAAACGTGTGGACTCTCCTTTAGCCCCCACGCTAGTGAGTAAGCCGTATGCACAAAGTAACCTCTTTTTGCCACCGCCGTGCAAAAGCATAGAACTATCTCCTTTTGCTTCCTCCGAAGCTGGCAATATAATACCACAACCTAGATGCGTACTCGCTACCTTCTAGCCGACCCTTCCATGAGCAGAAAACTCTGAAGAAGAAAAGCAGATTTTTTCGATCCTTAAGAAACCCTAGTTACATCCCCTCCACAAGCTCCACCCTCACAAGATCCTCTCTCTCTCCCTCTCTCTCTTTTTCTCTCTCAAGACCTTCTCAGGTCAAGCAGCAGCAAAAGGTGTTTC